TTCTTCTTTGTGTGGTGATAACTAAAACATTTCATCTAAATGATCAAACCAAATTAGTCATAGTATACTGGTTAAATTCTAACATCTGTAAGATTGGTAGTGATATGTCCATTTTTATTCTTTGAAAAACTTTTCCCTCCACTTGACTTCCAGGATTCTACATTCTCTTGATTTTTATTCTCCCTCACCAGTCATTTTTATTGTCTACTTCACTGCTTTATTTTCACACCCTGTACCTCCAGATGTTAAAGAGGTTCAGAACTCTTTCTTCACGTCTTTGTACTCACTCTCTCGGTTACCTCATCCATTTTAGTACCTAAATACCATCTCTCTGATCAATTATATTCCCAGTCTATACCTTTTCTCTAAACCCAGGTGTAGATACCCAAATACCTCAACATCTGCACTTGGGCATCCAATAGGCATCTCAAACATAACATGTCCGAGCCAAAGACTTGAAGTCAATATTGATTCTTTAGTCACATTTCACATCAAATTCCATAGCAAATGCCACTGACTTAGTTTTCAAAACACATCCAAAGTCCTCTGACTTTGAGTTACATCACTGTCATATGACTGACACATCATCTCGGGTCATATTGCATTACTCTGTCCTAAAAACTGTCCAGTTGTTTCCTATTTTAAATAACCTTCCCTTTCCCAGGTCAAAAAGGATCTTAATCACTTCACTCCCTGTTTTCACCCTCTGGCTTATTTCATTCTATGCCCCAAAGGCCTTTTTGCTGTTCTTCAAACCCCTGGGTATGCAACTATTTTAGGCCCGTGTGTGTTTTTTCCTATGTCTAGTATCCTCTTTTCCATAGCTACCTGGCTTCTCATCTCATCTTCTTTGCATCTATGCTCAAATATTACCTCTACAATATTGTTAGTATGTTGAAGCCCTTTCCTTTCCAAAGTTGAAGCCCTATTTTAGGTTGCTTCATAGCATGTATTGCTATCCTACCTTATTTTATATTTTCGTTGCTTTGGTTATTGAAAACAATTACAACAAAAACATAATATCCAAATGATTTATTTTATTAAAAAACTGGTTGCCTTCTCCACTAGACTTGTAGTTCTGTTAGGGCAAAGACTTGATTTTGTTCAGTCCAATGCTTAGAACAGAATCTAAATAAAAAGAAGGTGTTTGATAAACATTTGATGAAATAATAAATCCATGATGATGACCATACAGAAATGTTATCTTCTGAAACAAATTTTAAATTGGAGTATTTATCAAAGAGGTAAAACCCTGAAAAGCATAGATATATATTTTGATTTCACAAAAGAATGTTTACTATCTAGTTAGACATATAAATGAGTGAATAACCTATATATATGCAGAATATAGAGGTATTCACACAAATTATATAAAAATTGGGAACTTAAACTAAGCTTTTATAAATGCAATAAATTTCTGAAAACTCAACACTTTATAATTTATCAAAAATTAAAGAATGAAAAACCCTGGACAATTGATCTGTTATCATAAGAAAACAATGACAATAAAAATATCATACACAAATGATTTGCGATATTAAAAAAATGTTCCTCTTAATTGGTATAGCAATTAAATTCTAGTTCAGATTAACAATATGTATATTTCCTCTTATATTTTAAAAATTGAGCAGTTTTTTATGGTATTTTACACGTTTTTATATTATTTTTTAATTCCTTCATTCCTTCTTTGATTTTGGATAAATTAACAGACATTTTATTAATGTAGTCTCTGTTATTTAAAAACTAGAGGCCCAGTGCACAAATTTGTGCACAATTGGGGTCCCTAGGCCTGACCAGTAATCAAGGCCTATCAGAGAGCCTGCCAGGAGGAAGGGACCTGGGAGGTTGGCTGGCTGGCCCACCCCTGATGGGTAGGGGGCAATCTGGGGCAGAGCTGGCAGGTGGGAGGGGCCATGGGAGGTTGGGGGAAGCAGATCAGGGTTTAGATCAGGCTGGTTGGCTACCGCAGTGCATGTCATAACCAGGCATTCCAGCCATTCTGCTGATCCTGTCGCTGTGCTTTTATATAAAGAGATTAACCTCAGGAGTAATTCAGTTTGCCTTTTTCAATTTTTTAAAATATATTTTATTGATTTTTTTTTTACAGAGAGGAAGGGAGAGGGATAGAGAGATAGAAACATTGATGAGAGAGTAACATTGATCAGCTGCCTCCTGCACAGCCTCTACTGGGGATGTGCCCTCATTCAAGGTACATGCCCTTGACTGGAATTGAACCTGGGACCCTTCAGTCTTCAGGCCAATGCTCTATCCACTGAGCCAAACCAGTTAGGGCTGTTCTTCTGTTTTTCAAGTGACAAGTGGTCGCAGAGGCTCTGGGTGGCCCAGGAAAGGCTGCAATTCTGGGGCAGCAACATCAAGATGCCACTTGGAATCTCTTTCTTAGAGTCAGAGCTGTCCTCTGAAAAGACTTGGGTGGATACTGCATACCTGAAATGCCAACCAAAAGTAATTCTCATTAACATGTTAAAAATCCCAGCTCTCAAAAGCGTTGTTTTGTACAGTCCACGCAGATGGTATTTTTCAAAAAGAAAAAAGGTATTTAACGTCACTTTTACACACCAGGAAACAGACATGTGCAAAAACTGCCATGTGGGGTGGAGAAGGAGAGGAGCTCACTCCACCACGCCTCGTCCAGGCAGGTGGGTGCAAGGACCTTCTACCCAGAGGTGGGTCCCAAGGCCCAGGCAGTTGAGTAGGGAGCTCTGTCAGCCCCACGGGGGTAAAAGCAAAGTCACCTGCCTTCCTGCTGGTGGGGACACCCCATCAGCTCCTCCTCTCTTTTTTTTTTTCCAGCCACAAAAACAATATGTTGGTAAGTTAATAGCTTCAGGTGCTTTTTGACCTGGAAGCAAAGGTAAGAAAGAGACCACATGCTTGCTTGTCAGAGGGAAAAAAAAAAAAAAAAAAAGAAATCCTTAGAAATAGAGAAACAACTCTCTCGATGCACGCTCATTCCCTTCGACAGAAATGAAAAAGGAACTCGGATCGTCAGTAATAATTGTCACAAGTTTCTGAAAGGAGCTACACTGACTTAGACTTGGTGAACGATCAGGAGTGTGCAGTTAAAGCAAGCTCAGAGCCCAGTTCCGTCTCCTAAGCTCACTCCTGTGTACTCAACAAACTAGCTGACATCCCCACTTAGCATGCTGTAGTCAACGCTCCAAAACACTTCATCAAAACTCCTCGAGTTCCTTCTTTCCACATCTCCCACGGAATCATAAATATCAGCCTTCACTCCTTTCTCTCTCCCATACCACAGGCTTTTCCTCCCAATTGGGTGGCTCATGCTTCTTCCAGGAAGGTTCTCTGCCCCTCTGCCCACCTGCATATCCAGCCCGGTGGCCCTGCTCGCCACTCCCACAGCCCTTTCCATCTCCCCACTAGCCTGAATGTTCCTTCAGGTGCAGAACCAAATGCTGTTGGTGTTTGAATCTCTGCCTTTAGCACCTATAAACGAGGAGATCATGGTTTGATTACTGATCAGGACATATTCCCAGGTTGTGGGCTCCATTCCCAGTGTGGGGCATGATCTATGACTCTCTCTCAAAATCATTGTTTCTACCGTATCTCTATCCTTCTCCCTTACTCTCTGAAATCAATAAAGAGATTTCAAAGAAGAAAAATAAACCTTGATTCCAGGGTGGCACACCTCATGACAGTGCCCGGTGGCCTCCCTGAATAAAAATGTTAGTTATACCTGAAGCATGTGTGTGACACAGGACAAGCTCTCCTTGGTTCCCTTAAGAGCCAATGTCTACATACTTAGACCCCGGTAGTATTCTTTTCCAAATGTCATCTTGCCTATGGTGATTTGATCAGGTGTAGAGAGCCCTCTGGGAAGGCACATGGACATTCTTTTAATTCTTATCAGCTGAGCCCGAGGGCACTGGCAGAATCCTGTTATTAGTACTGATTTCTTATCTTTATCCTGGTGCTTGGAATGAGGAACAAATAGGACCTTGACTCACCAGGTCTTGATATGCTAAATCTTGTACCAAAAAATTAGGAGCTTACCCAGATTTTGATGAATAGGATCTGGGCACACCCGAAACTCCTTTTGACCTTATAATCCCTTTTGGAAGCCAATAAATATGCTGTTGCCTGTGGTGAGTGTGACTGTCTCTCCATCAGAGAGATAGCGCCCAGCTTTATGAATCTATTTCTGCCTCTTGTCTCTTTCTTTCTCTAATTTCTTCATCCCCAGATCCTCCTCTCAGGAACCTGTCGTTTTTCCGTGCGGGACATGGAAAACAGAGAAAATGCCCACCGCAATCAGGTTCTTTATTTTTCATTACCCTTGACTGTGTTTGAGTGATTTCACAAATTCGATATTATCCTCGCGTACATATAAGCAGCAGCAATGGTGTGTTAGTGATCAGAGGCAGTTGAAGATGAGAAAGTATTTTGCAACAATAAAAGTTCATTTTGGTCAGTCTTTTGCATTTGAAAAAAAATGTTGGTCATAGTTTGAAAATAAAACATCATTGGCTTGAATTCAGATGAGAAACTTTATTCTTCAAAGAGCACACTCATCAGTAAAACTCTACATAAATAGAGTGTACTGGTATGTATTAATTTTATTGAGCATTTTTATCATTAGATCTTCAAAGAGAATCTAAGATTAGGGTTTCATTCAGGAGAAAAGCATGAACCTCCACAGCTGAAGGAGACACTAATTTCCCATAGGACTCACAAGCCATCCTCCCCCCACCTCCTTTTGTTTTGTTTTTTTGAGGGTGAGATCTTAAGTTGAGTAAGAAGCATTTGGGTATTTTCCTCTGCAATGACAGGTTTTGCCTTTGCAGTTTTGCTCTTTATAGAGATTTCTGAGGTCTGGTTGTAGACTACAGACTTTGGTATTTCCTCTGACAGGGTCCACCACAGTCCTATCCAAGTAGCAGTCTTCAACTTCTTTTCCAAAATGTACACTTTCACATATTAATATTACATCATTTTATTTATACATGGAGAGCACTGACCTGTCAGCAAACCTTGACCTGTCCAGGTGTGACCAGCAAACTCCATCAGAGTCAATGAACCTTTTCGAGGGGTTTCTGACTGTCAGGAGAAAAATAAAATGAGGAATGAGTTTTATTGTTTCCGATACGTTTTTCCTTGTTGGACATTTAGTCAAAAGTATATATTTTTTACAGTCAATATTATTTTGTATAGATTTCAGGTGTACAGCATAGTGGTTAGATAATCGTATACTTTACAAAGTATTTCCCTGATATTCCCAGAATCCACCTGGCACCATTAACAGAAGTTACAATATTATTGGCAATGTTCCCTATGCAGTACTTAACAACCCCATGACTATTCTGTAATACCCATCTGTACTTCTCCATCCCCCCTCCATGCTAGCAACCATCAGTCTGTTCTCTGAACCTATGTACCTGCTTCTATTTTGTTTATTTTGTTCTTTAGATTACACATATAAGTGAAATGATATGATACTTGTCTATCTCTGACTTATTTCCATGCTGTCACCAATGGTAACATTTCATTCTTTTTTATGACTAATATTCCATTGAATATATGTATGTCTGTTTGGCACAAATTCTTTATCCACTTGTCTACTGATGGGCACTTGGGCTGGATAGTTTTTTTAAATATGTTTTTATTGTTTTCAGAGAGACAGGAAGGGAGAGGGGGTGAAACCATTGATCAGCTGCCTCCTGCACACCCCACGCATGTGCCCTAACCTGGAATTGAACCAGTGACCTTTTGATACATGAAACATGACTCAATCAATGGGTCACACCAGCCAGGCATGGGTTGGATATTTTTAAAAACCAAAGTATAGTTAACACAATGCAGTATACAGGTCATGCATATTGAAATATACACTCGAAACCTGTATGATCCTGTTAGCCAATGTTACCCAACACTTTAATTAAAGCAAAAATAAAAACGAAGTATAGTTAGCAGAGAACCTACCCGGAACGTATGGGTGGTGCTGGGCCTTGAAGACTGTTCCACAGTCAGAGATCTTTCTCGAAGAGGCGATCGTTCTACACTATTGGGGACTGCACTTAAAACACGGCTTTGTCCGTGCCTGACTCTGCACTAAATGAGAGATAATATGTTATTGTTTAAATAAAATTCAAACCTTAAAAAAAAAAATCTACATACGCTTCACTCCTTTAGTCATTCATTTGTTCACTTATTTAAAAATGTATTAATATGTTGTTAGACATGAGATCTACTAAGCATAACTAGAAAAATATTTTAATTATGGAATTGCATTATTTAGCCTAATAAAATAATAGTGTCTTAATCGGTAAATGTGGGTAAAAAAAAAACCTTCCTACATCAAATTCTTAGTATTAAACTATTAATATAATAAAAATGTAGTACTGCAGTTGGGAAGCATTGGACTTTTTTTTAAGGTGATATTTGCCTTCTTTGGTGATTTCACGCTCAGCCTCAATATTCTAAGATTAAGGAAACTTTTGCGGGAACTTGAGGTTCTGCTGAATCAAGTGATGAAGGCTTAGATCTGGATGTGTTGAGTTAGTATAGGGCTGGGGTGTTGATCTGTGAGTGCCTTGGGTGGGGCCTGGATGAGGCTAGTTGACCTATTGGGAAATGTCTTTTGTGTGAAGTGTAACATTGGGCATGTGGAGGTATTATTGATATGAGAAAATGCTAAGTAACTGATTTACTATCTGAAAAGGGATTTACTACCGGGGAAAGGGAGGGAGGAAGAGACTGAACATAAACTGTGCACCTATGGATGAGGACAACGGGGGGGATGGGGAGGGGCTGGAGGGTGGGGTGGGAACCTGGTGGAGGGGGGAAGAAATGAGGAACCTTTGTAATAATATGAAAAATAAAGATTGCTTAAAAAAATATTCTAAGATTAAATACTGAAGTGTTGCCACTCTGCCTTCCTGGACATGGGCCCATGGCAATGCTCAGGGAGGCACAGGGATGCAGGAGAAAACATGGCCGCGACGTTGTTCTCTCTCTCAGCCTTATGTCGCCACAACCAGGGTGCTTCTGTGTTATGTAAAATAGCACAAGCTGTCTGTAGCACAGCAAAGAGTGGGTCATTATGAACCATGGTTATGCCTGTGACTAGCAGCATAGCTTCCCCAGACCTTTTCCAACTGCAGGCTGAGTCAAGCTTGGCTGCAGAAGGGACTGCCTCCACATTGCAGTGAACAGGAGAGTTAGCGGGAAAAAGGAGAGCGGATAAGAATGGCAGTGGTATGTGACTGAGCTCCTCATTTATGCCAGTCATTATTTAACATCCTTACATTCACTGAATCCATGTAACCATATTTTGAGGTAGTAATGATCATTGCCCTTTGATAGATGGCAAAATTGGGGCTCAGAGAGATTCATTTCTACCAAATCACAGAGACTGGGTGGCAGGATTCCGACACAGATCCGCCTGTCTCCTCACCTCACCTTCATGCTATTTTCTGCTCACCATCCTGACCATCTGGTATTTCTTGGACACCTAAGCTCCCTCATTTAGGTAAAGCCATGTTTTTATTTCACAAAATAGTAAATGAACCCTCCCAGCCCCTGGAAATTCTCACAAGCCATTAACTTTCAGGGAGCAGATTATGGGGACATTTTATGTTAATGATTTCACTGCAAAATACCAACAGCAAACATTTCATACAATAATTTCACACATTAGAGGGGTTTCCTTATGACCATAACATTATTTTAAAAAAATATATTTTATTGATTTTTTGACAGAGAGTAAGGGAGAGGGAGAGAGAGTTAGAAACATAATGAGAGAGAAACATCAATCAGCTGCCTCCTGATATAAACTGTTTGTCTGTTTGTTAAATGGTGCACTTTAATATAATGGAATCTGTCTTACAGAGACAGGGCGAGATCCAGGAGCTGCCACCTTCTGCTCGGCGGGCTCGGGACCGATGGGAGGTAACCTCAGGGCCTGTGCGGTGTGGACAGGTGGGGAGGACATGAGGTCCAGGCCAGTTTGCCTGTGAACACAACAACATGCAACTGAGCATCCGGGAGTCAAGACAGGGAGAGGACAGACCTTACACAGCTCTTGATGTGAGTTCTTCACCACAGTCTGCTTTCCAAGAGGAAAGAGCTGAGTTCAGGAAGACAGATGTGGAAGGGGCCTGGCACCAGATAGCTCTGTCACCTTCTCCTTGCTCAGCTATCACCCTCAGCCTGTGTTGACCCAGTGACCAGCTATTCTAACAACAGGGCAGAGCAGAGAGGTAATGGAACATCTAGTTCTGACCCTATGAAATTTATAAGTTACTGAAAACACAGAAACAATTAGAGTACAATGCAATGCAATTTATATGACAACATGTTACAGCACGTGTTTCTGAATATAAGCACTGTAGAAATTTAGGGAATTGAGTGATCAATAAAATAACAAAATTAAGCCCAGCTGTCAGGACTCGGTAGTTGAGCGTCAACCTATGAATCAAGAGGTCACGGTTCTATTCCCATTTAGACCATATGCCCAGTTTGCGGACAGGATCCCTGTTATAAAAATGTTATGGTCGCTCTGACCGGTTTGGCTCAGTGGATAGAGTGTCGGCCTGCGAACTCAAGGGTCCCAGATTCGATTCCGGTCAAGGGCATGTACCTTGAATGTGGGCACATTCCCAGTAGGGGTTGTGCAGGAGGCAGCTGATTGATGTTTCTCTCTCATTATGTTTCTAACTCTCTCTCCCTCTCCCTTACTCTCTGTCAAAAAATCAATAAAATATATATTTTTAAAATAATGTTATGGTCATAAGGAAACCCCTCTAATGTGTGAAATTATTGTATGAAATGTTTGCTGCGTGGAGACCCCAATATCCTAACTTCCAAATTGGTGAATGCCCCACTATCTTGATGTGAACGCCCTAAGTCCTTAAAGTGTTTTTTTCCTCAAAAAACTAAAAATGGAACTCCCATTAAACCCAGTGATCCAACTTCTAGGAATATATCCAAATGAACCAGAAATACCAATTAGAAAGGCTATATGTACTCCTATGTTTGTAGCAGCACAATTCACCAGAGCTAAGATTTGGAAACAGCCTAAGTGCCCATCAGCAGATGAATGGATTAAAAAACTATGGTACATCTACACAATAGAATCACAATAGAATACTATGCTATGGTTAAAAAAAAAAAAAAGAGTTCTTACCATTTGCAATAGCATAGATGGTACTGGAGAGCATTATGCTAAGTGAAATAACCCAATCAGAGAAAAATAAATATCACATGATCTCACTTATTTATGGAATATAATGAACAACAGAAATTGATGAACAAAAGTAGATCCAGACACAGAGAAACATCAACCAGACCATCAAACCTCAGAGGGAAGGTAGGGGAGGGTTGGGTAATGGGGAGAGATCAACCAAAAGACTTGTATGCATGCATATAAGTCTAACCAAAGGACACAGACAACAGGGGGGTGAGGGCATGAGTGGGGAGGATGGGAGGGATGCGGGGATAAGGACACATATGTAACACCTTAATCAATAAAGAAATTTTAAAAAATGTTTTTGTTGATTTTTAGAGATAGAGGAAGGGAGAGAGAGAAATAGAAATATTGATGCATCAACAACGATCTTCTGCCTCCTGCATGCCTCTCCACTGGAGATTAGCCTGAAATAAGAGCACGTGCCCTGACTGGGAATCAAACCTGTGACCTCTTGATATATGGGTCAATGCTCAACCACTGAGTCACACTGACCAAGTGCATGGGGACCTTTAATAACTCCCTCCCTTGCTGCAGTGGCATATGATCCAAGTAGTGTCCCCAAAGAGAGACAACACAATGGGGGTGCCAATCTATACTAATAAAAGAGTAATATGCAAATTAGACTGGGTCAAGTGGCCATCTTCCAGATGTCCAACTTCCTTCCATACAAAGCCATGGTGGTGGGGACCAAGGCAGAGAGGGCAGTTGGGGGCAAGATCAGGCCAGCAGGAGAGGGAAGTAGGAGGAGATTAGGCAGGTAGAGGCAGTTAGGGGCGATCAGGCAGGCAGTCGGACATCCCCATTGGAGAGGATGCAGGCTGGGATGAGGAAATCCTCCTCCCCCATGCATGAATTTTGTGCACCGGGCTACTAGTAAGTTATAAATATAGCTAAGAACTGCTGTAAATAAAGCTGCAACAAAATTCATGCCAAATACTCAAATGTTAAATACTCAATTCATATCAATATTCAAATGCATAAACAACTTAGAAAAGTGTCTACATAAGTTTGATAGAAGATGCTTTCTCTAGAATAATCCATGAGCCCTAAGTGACAAGAGCCTCTGTCCTCTGTGACTTTGGTTTACCCTGAGAGAAGCAGGACTTACAGTCTTGTTACCCTAAGCATCTCCTCACTGTCCACATTGGGGGTTTTCATTCTCTGTGAGTCTGAAGTGAGAGAAGGCAGCCTCCTGTGAACTGGTGTTTTCTTTGCAGGAGTCTGTAGTCGGCAGGAGTCTGAGATTCGTCCCAGACGGTGGTGGGTGGCAGAAAGGGCACTAGTCCCCACACTCAGTGATATGTCCTCTTGTTCATTGCTGGGGAAGGGAAATCAGGTTAATTCCTGGGATGTAAACTCTGTGAGGAGAGGGAACATTTGCCCATGACCAGACACCTTCAAGAACAGTGCCTGGCTCCTAGAAGATACTCCTATTTGTAGAAAGGATAAACAGATTCTCATTTCCAATTCCGTTCCAATTCCAATGAAACATCATCAATAGAGAGAAAAGATCTAGGCTTCTTATTCTTTATAATCAAACACGATAGCCCATTAGATTGAATTCACTGCTGCATTCTCTCTTTCTTTTGCTTTTTAAAATATATTTTTATTGATTTTAGAGGGGGAAAGAGATGGAGAGAGAGAGAGAGAGAGAGAGAGAGAGAGAGAGAGAGAGAGAGAGAGAGAGAGAGAACATCAATGATGAGAGAGAATCATTGATCAACTGCCTTATGCACATTCCCTACTGGGGATCTATCCCACAACCCAGGCATGTGTCCTGACCGGGAATCAAAATTTCACCTCTTGGTTTGTAAGTCAATATTCAACCATTGAACCATGCTGTCTGGGCCCCTTTTTCTTATCTGCCCCAACCCTAATCCTTTTGTGGTCAATATATGAATAGCGTATTTTATCCTCACACACTGGCTGTATCCTGCCCTGAGAGTGATTCCCATTCTCTCATGCCCTCCACAGTCCGGGTGTTCACATGTGTGCAGAACAGGGAGGAGGCTAGGTGGTTATTTCACATACATACTGTGTCCTGTCGGCAAAGTGGGTCGGCCTCTGCTGAAGCGGTTTGGCTTGAATTGTCATCACACCATTCAAATCACTATAAAAATTGTTGGAGAAGCGATGGATCTGAGAATAGTAAGAACAATAAGAGTTTAAAAACTTCCATAGCCATTGCCATCACAAATGCTTGCTAGGGATCCACAGGAAGCAATGGCACACTCATACGGGCTCATTGGACAAAAATTCAATAAAGGGACTAGAGTTTATGAAGAGGCGGGGAGCAAAACTAACAAGGAACAGCTTAATTCCCCAAGGCCAGTGGGCACACCTGTCCACACTGGGACCTGGAGCAACAAGGGTCCTGCCTGGAGAGATGCCACCAACACATGGTGACCTGGCAGCCAGGAGAAAAGTAACACGATGCCTCCTTCTTCCCTAACCTCTGAGCTCCCCCTGTGGACACTGCTGGGCAGGGCAGCCAGGGAAGGCAGCCTCCAGGGCACCCCAGGGGGAGGCAGGTGCAGAGAGGACAGGAGAAGCAGAGCGAACGTGTCCCAGCTCCTGACTGGTCAGCTTGCTTTGCACTCTCCTCCTGTGCCCTGCACAGCTTTGCCCTCTGCTTCCGGGGAGCAGCCTGAGGCCTGGAAACATCCAAGCACCAGGTCAAAGGCTTACAAATCCCTGTTCTAACTGCTTCCTGGTTGGTGATCATGCGAAGGCTACTGTGGAGTTTTAATTGCCTGATCTCTCCATTGGGAATAATGACACTTACTTCATATCATTATTATGGGAGTGAAATTAGACAACAGTGGTGAAAGCACGAATGAAGGGCTCAATAATCAATTCTTTATTCCAGTTCCTTAATATGTCCAACTAGGATTCAAAATAATAGTTATACCTAAAGGAACAGGGTATCTGAGACTAGAATTCTATTCTGGGCGAAGAATAGACTTAGCAACCACACTCACATTTCCCTCATGTTGGATAAATGTAAAAAGAAATGTTAGAGGAATAAGTGACGACCTGTTGCAATTATCACTAGAATGCTTTGACTATTTCAAAATAAGTTCTATTAATACTTATCTGTACTTTTACCTGTGTTGTAATGCATTTTCTTTCAGCATTTATCCAAAAAAAGAACCTCAAAGTAGATGTAGAAAAGATTTCTTCAAACTATTAAAAACCACGAAATACCTATAAATAACTGCTTAGATATCATCAGGCAAAATAAATAAATTTGAGAAACGGGAGCATTTGCAGAATGTTCCTGTTTCTCAAATTTATTTCTTCTGCCTAATGTTTAAAGGTTCCACGTTGTTATCAACTCTTTGTTTCTATGTAATCCACGCTGCATATTTTACTATGCAAAGTGGGAAATGATGTTGAACCAGTCAGAGCAGTTTTAGAGACACAACAAGCCCATAGCAATTCCAACAACAAAAGCGAATGAGCCTTATGATAAAGCCTGCACACTGGAGAAGAAAGCAATCCTGTTAGAGATTCCTATTTCAAACCGCTACTCACCCAACTGCATGCTTCTTTCAGGCCCGTGTCCTTTCAATCTCACAAAGGCATTCTGTAGCCTTGCTCCTGTGCCAGGCGCATATTTTGCCTCTGCCTTGAGTACCTCCCCTTCCTTTGCAGCTTACCAAGTTTGCCTGTTGTTTAAGACTCAGTTAAGGTCTTACTCTACTTCAAGCATGTCAAACTCAAAGGCTAACACAGGCCAAATAAACAAGGTTTAAGCTTATGTGGGCCGCAAAAAAAACAAAAGCTTCAATATTCATAGAAACATAGATTTATTTCAATAGATACATGCTAAATACAAAGGGCTGAAATAAATGAGTCATCATTAACATAAAATAATAGAACATTTTAATAACAATTCATATTTTTTCTTGAACATTAACTTACCAGACACTGAATAACTGCACAAATGAATAAGCGTAATGCAAATAAAGCTATTTTTCTTGTTCTCCGAAAGCAAAATATTTCCTGTTGCACACGCCAAACAAGCCAGTGCAAGACTAAAGACATGGCTGCTAAAATATTCGATATTGATATCAGTAGAGAGAAATGGTAGGCCTGCCCATAAGGAGCATAATGGAAATGTATGCATCACAATTATAATAATCAGTCATTAGCGAACGTTGTAGTTTATTATTAATGACTAGAGGCCAGTGCACGAAATTTGTGCATGGAGGGTTAGGGGGGTTCCACAGCCCAGCCTGCACCCTCTCCAATCTGGGAGCCCTTGAGAGATGTACGACTGCCCATCTAGGACATCCTAAACCGGCAGTCAGACATCCCTCTCAAAACCCAGAACTGCTGACTCCCAACTGCTTGCCTGCCTGCCTTCCTGCTTTCCCCTAACTGCTTCTGCCTGCCAGCCTGATCACCCCCTAAACCACTACCCTGACTGCCTGATTGATACCTAACTGCTCCCTTGCAGCCTGATTGCCACTAATTACCTTCCCCTGCAGTCCTGGTCACCCATAACTGCCCTTCCCTGCAGGCCTGTTCCTCCCAACTGCCCTCCCTGCAGGCATGGTACCCCCCAACTCTTCTCCCCTGCAGACCTGGGTCCCCCCCAACTTCCCTTCCCTGCAGGCCTAGTTGCCTGCAACTTCCCTCCTCTGCCAGCCTGGTCACCCCTAAATGCCCTCCTCTGCAGACTTGATTGCCCCCAATTGACCTCCCTTGCAGGCTAGTCCCTCCCAACTGCCCTCCCCTGCTGGCCATCTTGTGGTGGCCATCTTGTGTCCACATGGGGACAGCCATCTTTAACCACATGGGAGCAGCCATCTTGTGTGTTGGAGTAATGGTCAATTTGCATATTACTTTTTTATTAGATAGGATAGAGAACTGGTGGACAGGTGAGGTCTGACTGGTTTGCCCTGAAGTGTGTCCCAGATCATGGCGGGGGTTCTCTTAGGGCTTGGGGCAGCCTGGGTGAGGTGCCTGTGGTTGTTTGCAGGCAGGCCACGCCCCTCGGCGACCCAAGGGAAGGCCCTGGTATCTGGGACTTATTTATCTTCCATAATTGAAACTTTGTAGCTTTGAGTGGAGACCAGGTCTGGCCAGAAAGCTTGGCTTCCTCCATCACTGGGGCAGCTTCATGCCACCACCCTACTTTTGTTGGGTTAATTTGCATACTTGCTCTTGATTGGCTGGTGGGCATGACTTGTTGGTGTAGCAGAGGTACGGTCTGTTTGCATACTTCACTTTTATTAGATAGGCTTATGTATAACAGGATATTGTAAAAATTAAGTTATGAAATTTATATTAAAATTTTCTTAGATAGTGCTATGTTGGCTGGCCCACAAAAATATTAGCAGTGGGCAGCATGTGGCCTGCAGGCTGTGGGTTTGACATGCTTGCTTTATTTTGTGAAGGGTATGCTGTTTTTCCTTTCAACCCTTCATCATTTATGAGCTAAAGAACATATAACTATTATAATATAATAAAATGTAATATAACATAATATGATATAATGCATATAATTAGCTCCTGGTTACATTAATAAAACACTTACTGAATGCCTACTCTATGCCACATAATGTCTTATCTCCTTTAATTCTCATAAATCCCATAGATGACAAAACCAGTTTTGAAGGAAAGGGGCTGATTCAAGATTACAAAGCTAATAAATCATGATGTCAGGCTCTAAACTTGTAAACTATACCCAAAGCTCAACCTCTCATTCACTCTACTACCTGCAAGATTGCCTCATCTTGTGTGTGTGCATGTGCGTGAGGCATGGCTGGACTCCCGCCAACTAATTATATTTAGCTTGAGACCAGGAACCCTCTCAAACCTCTTTTCTCTGCTCCCCTCTACACAAGATGGGCTGTGCGAGACATACAATCCCAACTGCTTAGTACTTCCGAAGGTCTTCCGTGGATAAGTTTCACTTTCCACTAGGTCTTTGAGTAAGAATGGATCTCAACAAAAATTTACTAAGATAGTTAGCTGCTAGGTTCTGTGTTAGTGACTATCATATATTTACACGATATTGCCCTCACTACAATCCCTTGAGCAACATATTACTATCCTCATTCTATAGATTAGGAACCTAAAGTTTAGAAAAATTCAATCAACACATCCAATATAACACCCCCCCTGTCCCCATAGGTCTCTTGATTCCAAATGCTCTGGTATTACCACAATGCTTCTGCTGGTCCCAGTATACCATCCTCTAACCCAAAGTCCAACATGCCCCATCTTACATTCCTCCATGCCTTTGATGGGCCTGAAATGACCCATGCAGACTTCCTATTCCTTTATCCTCCTAAGACACACTGTTTTTGCACATTATCAGCAGAATGTATTGCTTCTGACTTGTTTTACACTTTTTGTTTTACTAGGTCAGGGACTATGCTTTCTTCATCTGCATATTTCTTCAAAACACCTAACACAGGTCACTTCACACAAACTCAATAAATGTTGGGATGAACCCAGTGTATACTCACTGACTGATCCTTTTATCACTTTGATGGGAGGAGATCAGAACATTTGTAACCTGCAAACTGGCTAGAAATATTGGGGCAGACATATTTTCTCTTCAAAAATATGGACACAGTGCTACAGCTCAAAGCTGATGGAAAGTTTCAAATCTGAGCGTCTTCACTCCATTAAAGAATATGGTGATTCTATTAAACTCCATGAAATAAGTATTTTTTAAATTAGTCTTATTAAAAAACAGACCTGAATAATTTTATAATAAAGTTTAATAGAATAGTAATCTTATCAAACTAAAGCCAAAGCTATAAAAACCGAAGGAAAGAGAGAGACAAGGGGGAAAGCATTACCTGGGGGGGATTAAGATGAGAAGCCAAGGAGATGCTTTGAGTTTCAGAACTTCTGGACGGGGGAATACTCATTAGACCAGTGTTAATATGGGAAATGAGAACCTGCGGAGATTTAGCCTCAGCAACTTTCAATTTTTCTTTCTGTTTTCTTCTTCCTATGTCAACAGAAAATACAATATTATTAATAATGTTATCTAAAATTCACTGCTTAAAGAAAATATTTGTTCTTGAGTTACCATGAGTTTGCTATCATCCTGGACTTTACTATAGAGAGCAGAGACCCCATGGAGCAATTGGCTAACATGATACTTCTCCACACATACATAATGAATGCCTATCATTTCACTATTAGGCAAAAAAGTAGAGATTATATACTGAAGCAAGAAAAATTCTCAGAATTTTATAATATTGGAACTAATCCCTTTGGTTAGAAAAATAATATTTAAATTAGCATGATTATTATTCTACTGTGCAAATTGATCACATAGCACCATCCACCACTAACATTTCTATGACCTGAGGCCTGGTGCACGAAATTCTTGTATGGTGTGGTGTGGGGTCCCTCAGCCTGGCCTGCACCATCTCACAATCCAGTACCCCTTGGGGGATGTTGACTGCCGGTTTAGGCCCAATCCCTGCGGGCCTAAACCGGCAGTCAGACGTCCCTCTCACAATCTGGTATCACTGGTATCTAACCACTCATCTGCCTGCCTGCCTGATAGCCCTAACTACTCTGTCTGTCTGCTGGATTGCCCCTAACTGCACTGCCTGACTGATTGCCCCTAACCACCTTCCCCTTAGCCCCTGCCACAGTTGCTTAGTCCAGAAGGACATCAGGAATGACATCCAGAAGGCAGTTTGGCCATCTGGTCTATTTAGCATATTATGCTTTTATTATTATAGATCTACTTCTGCTCAGTTTCAAGTAGTTTAGAAAACATTTTATAAAGACAAATGAAATGATTATTAAATGATCTATGTTTACATTTTACTTTATAAATAACATCATAAACAATAAAAAGGCAATATCCCATTATTATAATAGTTAGGTAAGGTTTTTGTTTGATTTTTTTTTTTTTACCATAATACATTTTTAAATATATGACCTCTAGTTTCTTTCTTGTGTATTTCTGTGGGTTTTCCCCCAGAGTACATGTATCATTTTTACAACTCAAAAATAATAATGTCCCTTTTGAAGTGCTTAAAGGTCCCTTGTGAATGAAGGCAATAAATGCCTGTCCCTCTCACCCCAATCATTCCCTATGTATGGCCAGGCTGAGGTGGGGCACAATTCTGACAAACAAGGCCTCTTTTTCTTTATTTTTTTTTCCTTAAATATATTTTTATTGATTTCAAAGAAGAATGGAGAGGGAGAGAGAGATAGAAACATCAATGATGGAAGAGAATCATTAATCAGCTGCCTCCTGGGGATTGAACCTGCAACCCAGGCATGAGCCCTTGACCCAAATCAACCCTTCAGCTGGCAGTCTGATGCTCTATCCACTGAGCCAAACCATCTAGGGCAAGGGTCTTTTTTTTTTTTCTTTTCATTAGGTCAAGTTCACCAAATAAGTACCTGTGAGTGTAACTTCCCAGGTTTTCCTAATCAGCTCTTCCAGCATTTCAACCACATTTGTCCAGATATGATCGAACACTTCTGCAGCCACGGCATCTTTGATACAGTCATGAGGGGAAATGGGAGGAAGTCCGTGCTTGTGCTGCATCCCACAGTGGTGAGCTGATTTCTGTTCCAGGTGTTCATCATCACTAAGGACAAAATCCATTCTAATTACTAAAAGAATCAAGGAGTTAAAGGTAAATAATGCTACCTATCCACCTAACATGCATTCATCAATGTATATTATACATATACTAGTGGCCCGGTGCACGAAATTTGTATACGGAGGGGGTATTCCCTCAGCCAAGCCTGCACCCTCTCCAATCCGGGAATCCTTGGGGGATGTCTGACTGCCAGTTTAGTGTCTAAACCTGCAGTCAGACATCCTTCACAATCTGGGACCACTGGCTCCTAACTGTTCACTGCTTGATCACCCCAACCACTCTGCCTGCTTGCCTGATCACCTCTAACTGTCGCTGCCTGCCTAATCACCCCTAACTGCCCTCCCCTGACAGCCTGATATTGCCCCCAACTGCTCTCCCCTGCAGGTCTGGTTGCCCCCTCCCTTGCAGGCCTGATCTTGCCCCCAAAGGCCCTCCTCTGCTGGCCTGATCTTATCCCTAACTGTCTTCCCCTGCTGGTCTCATCTTGTCTCCAACTGCCCTCCCCTGCCAGCCTGATTTCACGCCCAATGGCCCTTCCCTGCCAGCCTGATCTCACCCCCAACTGTCTTCCTCTGCTGGTCAATTTGTTTCTGATTGGTCGGTTTCTATGCCAGTCAATGTCAAAAGTTCCGCCTCCTAGGCAGCCATTGGCTCCTCACAATTTACCCAGATTTGGTTGTGATTGGTCAGTTTCTATGCCAGTCAGCATCTCTGGGCTTATCAACAGAGCCAGATCAGAAAAGCAGGGCTATGCAGCAGCCCCAGTGGAGACCTGGAGAGAAATGGAGTCATGGCTGCTGGCCAGATTGGGAGAGAAAGAGAGAGGCAAGTGCTGATCAAAAGCTGCCACAGAGGCAACAAATCAGTCCCTGCTTCTCTCTTCAGGCCTCTTTCTGACCCTGATTCACAGCCCCCTCAGAAGTCAGTGCTGGGGCACTGCGCCTGCCTCAGAAACAGTCGGCGCTGGGTTGCCATGAACCTCGGTCATTACTGATCATTATGGCTTAGGATTTTTATATATTAGGATAAATAAACATCACGTTCGTTTTTTAAACAGTGCGTATTTTTTTAAATGTTCCAATTTTCCATCACAAGGCAAATTTTTATTGTGTAATATGTGTAGCTTTTGTTTAGGAACCAAATATGCATTTAGTGCTCAAACGGGACTGTCCCCTTTTACCCTCTGTGAAGCCAGGTTAGGAACCAGGAGCTCCTGGGCACCAAGTCATGTTCACCATTGTGCTAAACACAACTCTTGTTTTCGAGCTGTAGCATATTGTCAAAAACAGCCTGGCTGACATGGCTCAGTGGTTGAGCACCTACTTGTGAACCTGGAGGTCACGGTTCAATTCCAAGTCAGGGCACATGCCTGGGTTGTGGGCTCGATCCCCAGTGTGAGGTGTGCAGGAAGCAGCCAATCAATGATTCTCTCCTATCATTGCTGTTTCTCTCTCTTTCTCCCTCTCCCACTTCTCTGAAATCAATAAAAATATATTTTAAAAAAAGAAAAGAAAGGGAACCAGTCTTCTAGCATAGTCATTTCCTGCCAGGAACCTGAAAGCTTTTGAGAGCACAATACTCTCCAAAGAGTGGAAAATCTTTTGGAAAGTGAAATATACACTAAATGAGCACGTGATCAAACTAAATAACAAATTAATATTATTAAACCATTTAGTCAGTGCCAAATAAAATTCCACTCACTCTTCTATTCTGTCGAAAGCGAAATATTCTTCGATTTTCCCATCCACATCGTAGACCTCTTCCTGCAGGGATGAACATGCCGCTAGGTCGGCCCCCTCTGTGCAGTCGGGACCTGGCAGGGCCGGGGCTGCAAGTGCTGCTGGGAGTATTTGAGAGCCAGAGATACACAACCTACGGGGAAAGCAGATTCTCCATGGGAGCTTGTAGAACGTCAAGAATACAATGTGTGCATGATTGTGGTAGGTATTTAAATTATCCAGAAAGCACAGAGTCCCAAATTTAAAAGTCAATAAGTACTGCATTTAACAAAAGTCATATCCTGAGAAGCAGCATTTTAAACACGGGCATCATTAAACATTTTAAGGACTTCTTGGAAGACTAAATTATTCTATGAATTTGCATTCTCTTTGCTACAATGGAAGGATGTTATGGCACCATTCGAAGTATGTGTGACTGGCATGGAGGCATTCATTAAAATCTGTTAGTAAGCAAAAAAAAACCCCAAAAAACAACAAAAAAAAAAAACAGTCAGCGCTGGGTTGCCAAGTACCTCAGTCGGGAGCTGGAGTTATAGTCCTTCTGCTGCTACTGCCTTGGGGCTTAGGATCAAGTAGTTTTGGTTTTGTTTCTAGCTCACCTTTCAGAGATTCTTTGAAACAAAGGTTGAAAAGCTATCTCCCTTGCCCAGCCGGTGTTGCTCAGTGGTTGAGCATCGACCTATGGACTAAGAGGTCATAGTTCAATTCCTGATTATGGCACATGCCCAAGTTGTGGCTCAGACTCCAATGTGGGGTGTGCAGGAAGCAGCTGATCAATGAGTCTCTCATCCTTGATGGTTCTATCTCTCTCCCTCCTTCTCCATTCCTCTCTGAAATCAGTAAAAATATATTTTACCTCCCTTGACATCAGTATTACACACACACACACACACACACACACACACACACACTGTCATCATCTGGATTCAGAAGCATCTTATAAAAATAATGCTCTGTACCTGCCCTTCAAAGAAATATAAACTTGCAAAGTGGTGGAGCCGAGGCTCATGGCTGAAATAGACATGAAGAAGTATAACTAAAATGCCACTAAAACTGCCTTTTGGAAGCAGCTTGTAGGAACTTACTGTCTGCCGCTGCTGCCGCATTGACGGGCCTCCAGGGAGGACTCGTGGCCCGCAGAGCGAGGCTCGCTGCCCTGGAAGTGGCGGACGCCGTCATCGCTCGGCAGGATGACCTGTCTTCCCAGCACTCTGCAGGGTTTAAACAAAGAGGAAACCATTCATATCTTTATGGAAAAGCTAAAGTGTTTTACAACTTGAAAAGCCATATAAACCGAAACCGGTTTGGCTCAATGGATAGAGTGTCGGCTTGGGGACTGAAGGGACCCGGGTTCGATTCCTGTCAAGGGCATGTACCTTGGTTGCGGGCACATCCCCAGTAGGGGGTGTGCAAGAGGCAGCTGATCGATGACTCTCTCTCATCGATGTTTCTAACTCTCTATCCCTCTCCCTTCCTCTCTGTACAAAATCAATAAAATATACATTTTTTAAAAATCTATAAAAAAAAGAAAAGCCATATAAAATACTATTGTGAAGGAACGTGCACGAAGCAATAGGAGCATATGGTATGTGGGAAGCATCATGGCATCACCAATTGCCACAGGCTTTAAGGGAAAGGCCAGACTGTTCTTGCCTGGGCAGACTTGAGGCCAAGTTCTCATGTGTCTAGGCCACTGACTCCACTTGTCTGATTGTGTAGGCAGACAGAATGATAACAGTCACCTAGAGATAAAGTCTATCAGATCCTTACACCTACGGCACTGGCTTTCAACCGTTTTTCCTCTCATGGCACACGTAAACTAATTACTAAAATTCTGCAGCACATCAAAAAAAAAAAAAAACATATATTTTTTGCCACATGAATTTTTAAAACATGTCATATCTGCCTGTATAGTCAGGGGGCACTGACTTCTTTTCCCTTAGATTGTCAAATAAAAGAATGACAATAGCCAACGCTTGCAAAGGATTCAAAATTACACTTATTTTTATTGTCGTATCAGCAAAAAATATATGCTTGGTGTGCCATCGAATTTTAGTAATTAGTTTACGTGTGCCATGAGAGGGAGAAGTTTGAAAACACTGATCACGGGTAATGCAAGCACGCAGAAGTTCTCTATAAATGCTAACTAAATCTACATAATGAATAGAAATCTATTAATATGTAGACCTGGCTTGTATTCCTTTCAATTTCTTCTTCTGTCCTCCCTTCCTTCATGTTTCATCCTCACTCTGTGAGTTAACAGAGACAGGAGCAGCTTGGAGTTCCTGACACATTGGTATGCTCCCCAGGCCTAGAGAAGTCAGCACCTACAGTAACAGCTAAGGGACCTACTGCATCCTCTGAGGCGGAGGCTTACAGAGGACTAAAAAGAAAAGATAAAAACCTACCTAGTCAAGAATTTTTTAAAGGGACCTGGTAGGTGTCACCAGAAGATCTGCTGATATCTGCATGAATATTGTCATTGACCTCCCCAGGCACAATGCAGAGGGCCTTCGGAGAGCCTATATGGATTGCTCCTAAGCAGTTTGGCTGAGTTATTGAAAGAAGAAAAAACTTCCCTTTATATCCAATCTACAGTCTCCATCTTTGATAGAAAAACAACAAGCGACCCTTCCTACATCGGGAATCTTGGTGCAATGGTAAGGTTCATCTATCTAGTCATTCAGCAAATAATTACTCTGTCCCTCCTCCACCCCCGAGCGGTGCTGAGGACACACATGTAATGCTCACATCCTTGTGGACATGGAGGGAAAGGGTGACCTACCATCTTGCATGTGTTCTGAGCATGAGCTACCTGTGCTTCTCAGAAATTAAAGTGAACTTGAGTATAGGGATGTCTCAGTAGTCGGCCAGCCGCCATCCCGGAAGATGCAATATCTCAGTAAAGGACAAGTGTTCTGGATACATATTTTGACCAGGCAAGTGTTTCAGTCAAAATGTGCTCATTGTGTTAAACAAGGCCGGAGGGGGCAGTTTCAAAACCCATGGTGGTGAATTACTATGAATGACCCCCTACCTCAGGTGGATGGATCGTCTCGCCCACTCGCTGCACTCAGCCACGAGGTTCTGGGTCTGTGGGCTCACTTTCCCTTCGAATAACATTTCCTCGACCTCCCAGAATAACTGCTGCACCTTCTGTGCACTGGCTTTGTCAAACTCCTAAAACAGAAATGCACATTTGGTTACAAGACTGAAAGTTGTCAACATAACGGCTTCATAATCCATGATGCTGACATGTTTAAAGCACCCATTGTGACAAGATAGAAATAAGTGGATTTTGAGGTCAGACACACCAGAGCTGCAATTTTTACTCTTCTGATAAATTGAATTTCCACTCTGGTCCACAGTTTTTGTAACTATTAAATAGAGGTCATCTACTACATGAGTTATGAGACATATTTGAGATCTTACATAGATATAGTGATAGGTATAGGTATACGTAATGACACAGATCTTAATATACTTACACACACACACACATATATTATATATATATATATATATATATATATATATATATATATATATATATATATATAGAGAGAGAGAGAGAGAGAGAGAGAGAGAGAGAGAGGCCCAGTGCATGAATTCGTGCACCAGTGGGGTCCCTCAGCCTGGCCTGTGCCCTCTCACAATCTGGGACCCCTCGGGGGATATTGAACTGCCTGTGGGGATTGGGCCGAAACTGGCAGTCTGACATCCCCTTAGGGATGTAGTAGTGCACCTAGTGGCAGGCAGTGGGGAAGGAGCCCAAGCCCACTGCTCCCACTCATCCTGGTCCCACTACATCTGCTGCCGCCTCCACTAGGTAGGGCTGTGGTGGAGGTGGGAGAGGCTTGAGCTGCTGCAGCTGCATTCACCAGCCATGAGTCAGGTGTTTGGCACCTGTCAGCTGAGTGGTGCTCCTGCTGTGGAGTGCACTGACCACCTTGGGGCAGCTCCTGAATTGAGCATCTGCCTTCTGGTGGTCAGTGTGCATAATAGCAACCAATCAAATGGTTGACTGGTCAAACGATTGACTGGTCCCTTAGGGTTTTTTATATATATATAGATGCACACACACACACACACGTATAAATATGCAGACATATGTCTCTCATATGGTTGGGTGAGACCGCATCTAAGCACATCTACAAAGTTCAAACTATTTCTTGCTCTGATGATACCACTGAAAAGGAAATCGGCTTTTATAAAAAGGGCCATTCAGATTCTTTCAATCAATGAAAAAAATAAAAATCTTGAGGCATGATTATTAGGGTGAGGCCAGAGTATTAATTTTTCCTGCCGGACCTAAAGAATTTCTTGGACTGTGGCTACAGTGAAATGTGGGTAAGAAAACCTTTCAGCTTTTCTATGTGTTCTCGACAATTGGGAGGCAACAGTCCTACAGCCCTCATGTCAAGGAGGAGAATGTGAACGTGACCAGGATTAGGAGAACTACACTGAGCAGGTAGCCTCCAGAGCAGAAGCCTGGTTATCTTTTCTTCCAGGAATGTGCGAACCTGAAATCTAATCCACAACTCAGAGCAGCAAAATGCATATTCAGTCTGACATTCCCTATCCAAATATTATCAGGTTGATTTTCATAGAAAGCTAGACAATATTTTCTGTGTCACTTCTTCCCTTGAGTTGATAATACAATAGATTCCCAGGTTGCAAAGGAGTTGAATTCTCTTTTAAAATGCAAATAAGGAGAAACTCAATAATAACTTATGCCTCTTAGGAGGGAATTGCCTGGGGGTGGCCTGGGAAAAGGCTTACTTTCCATTTTCTCTTGATTGCATTTGGCTGCTTTTGCAAATATTCTCCATCAAAAAGTAAATAAAAGTGTTTAAAAGCAACTGTAGGTTTTGGAGTGATGTGCATCCTATCTAATAAAGAAGGAATCTGCTAATATAGCCTCAAAGATGGCAATGCCCACAGCCAAGAAGGAGGGAATATGCTAATTGACTGCCTCACCCTCAGAGATGGCTGTGCCCACATCCATAAAATGGTGCTGTCCTGTCTCCTCAGCCTTGCCAGGGTGGCAGGTGGGCAGCATAGCTGGGCTTGCCCCTAGTAGAAGTCCCCACACACCTGCCTCTGGAGTCTCCCAGTCCCCTCAGCCCCACAGCTGCCCAGGGCTGGCCTGAGGCACAAGCAAGCCTCGGATGGCAGCTGCCCAGCTGCCCAGGGCCACCGAGGTTCAGGTAACCAGGGCCCACCAAGGCTTGTGCTGCCAGCAGTGGCAGCAGCAGAGGTGTAAAGGGGGCATCGCCTTCCCCAGATGGCTGGGTTGCCTCCTACCCCTAAGGGCACCCAGGATGTGAGAGCAGGTAGGCCAGGCTGAGGGACCCCTCCTCCAGTGCATGAATTTTCATGCACCGGGCCTCTAGTTCTATGAATGAAAGCCATAAGAGTCTCTCTGGATAATTCCATGGAAATCCAGAATTTGGTCAGTGCGAAGCCAGGACTCTCAGTCTTCTTCCCACCTGTGCGCTCATGAGCAGAGTGCGCGTGGGGGTGGCAGGGAGTGGGCGTGAGGTGGGGCTACTTATCAGAAGTGAGAGTCACCCCTTTGAAGAGGTCCTGAGTGACTCAGAGCTGACTCCCTCCCAGCGTCCCCTCCCACATTTTGAAGTTCGCAGCTGTAAGATGGTAGGAGGCAGAGGGGCAAGTGGAGAACTGCTTTTAAAGAGAGCAAAGAAAAACACAACACAAGGAAGTGCAAGAGCTAGAACACCCAAGGCTACAGTGGAGGCTCCCAGTCACTGGGCCTTCACAAAAGGCCAGGCCCGGGATGCTTAGGGTCACCTGTGCAATTGGCAGAGCACCCCACAGAGCTGCAGACTGAAAGCCAACCTGGCTCCACACCCCACTCCACAAAATGACAAAGATGAGGTCAAAGTTAACAGTTTCCACAAGAGTCAGAAGGTGAAAGTAAAACATCTTCTTAGAAACCCTATAACCATGGCAATTGGTTAGTTTTACTTCACCCAAATTTTTTTCTTGAGTTCCCACTGTCAGCGTCTGTCCTAAATTTCCCGCCATAGATCTCATATAAGAAATTAAATGTAACACACCCAGAGGGTGGGGAAGGAAGTAGAAAAAAACAAAACTATTAATAGCTGAGACTTTGAGTTATGGGAATATAAGTGATTTTTGTTTTTCCTTATATGTTCTTTATTTTTAAGATTTTATGTGTGACATAGAAATGATTTTATATGTATGGCAATGTATGTGCATAATAGGTAATGCTTTTAAAATTGGTAAAAAGATATTTTTAAAAACAAGAAAGCAGCCATAGCCAGTTTGGCTCACTGGATAGAGCATTGGCCTGCAGCCTTCATGCTGGGTTCAATTTCAGTCAAAGGTACATGCCCGGGTTGCAGCTAGATCCCCAGTGTGGGGAAGGGAGCGTGGTGCAAGAGGCAGCTAATCAATGATTCTCTCTCATCACTGATGTTTCTATTTCTCTCTCCCTTCTCTTCCTCTCTGAAATCAATAAAAATATATATTTTTAAAAATAATAATAAGAAAGCAGTACTGTCTGGTGTGGCTCAGTCGGATGAGTGTCATCCTATGCACTGGTTCAATTCCCTGTCAGGACACATGCCCTAGTTGCAGGCTCCATTCCCAGGAGGGGGCGTGCAGGAGGTAGACAATCAATGGTTCTTCTCTCTCACAGATGTTTCTCTCTCTCTCTCTCCCTCTCTATCCCTCTCTCTCAATTCATTAAAAATAGAAAGAGAGAGAGAGAGAGAGAGAGAGAGAGAGAGAGAGAGAGAGAGAGAGCCCTAGTTGGTTTTGCTCAGTAGATAGAGCATCAGCCTTTGAACTGAAGGGTCCCTGGGTTTGATTTCTGTGAAGGGCACATACCTAGCCTAGCTTGCACCCAGTAGGGGGCATGCAAGAGGCAGCTGATCAATGATTGTCTCTCATCATTGATGTTTCTATCTCCCTCTCCCTTCCTCTCTGAAATCAACAAAAATGTATTTAAAAAAATAAGAAAGCAACTCTTTTTTATACATTGTAATCATGCAATTATCTAAAGTATTCTGAGACATACTTCATCTCTCCATGAGCAAATGGAGCTCCTTTCGGTAGATAAGCCCACGGTCGAGTTCGAACTCTGCGTCCCAGACCTGGACCAAGAGCTGTGGGCTTCTGTGGGTGTGGAGCTTCCACTGGATGAAAATGATGACTCGGACTCACTGCAGGAACAAACAGAGGCAACATAAATAATGCTAGAGAATAATACTAGAGCCCCAGTGCATGAAATTCAGGGGGGGGGGGTGTCCCTCAGCTCGGGAGCCCTCAGGGGGAGCAGTTTGGGAGCCCTCGGGGGGAGTAGGCCTAAGCCATCAGTTGGACATTCTTAGAACTGTAGGCTTCTGGCTAAGCACTACTTCCCTTGTGGAAGTGCATTGACTGCCAGGTGGCAACTCCTGCATTGAGTGTCTGCCCCCTGGTGCCCTGGTGGTCAGTGAGCATCATAGAGACTGGGAATTCCACTGTCAGGCTGAAACTGGCTCTTTGACATCTCCCAAGGGGTTCCGGATTGTGAAAGGGCATAGGCCAGGTGGAGAGACCTCACTGGTGCATGATTGGGGCCAGGGAGGGACCACGGGAATCTCAAGGGCATGTCCAGCTCATCTCACTCAGTACCGATGGGTCAGACCCCAGTAGCAAGCTAAACTACGGGGTGAAGCATCTGCCCCCAAGTGGTCAGTGCTCGTCATAGCAACTGGTCAACCAGTCGACTGTCTGCCCCATGGTGGTCAGTGCATGTCATAGCAAGCAGTTGAGTGGCCTTAGCATATTATTAGCATATTACACTTTGATTGGTTGAACGGCCAACCAGATGATTGGACACTTAGCATATTAGGCTTTTATTATATAGGATTTCCTGGGAGAGGATAGGTGGAAACTGGCTTTATTTCTCTGAGCCACTTCCTCTTTCTTTCTTTAAATACATTGGTCAATTTCACAGCACACAGAATTTTCAAATACTGATGCAATGTAACATTTCACTAATTTTAGTTTTATATGAAAATAAAACTGCTTCTTTTAGAAATTCACAGCCAATCTTCAATTTTGTTTGCCATATTCACTATGGGCACGTTTTGGTTTTGCAATTAGAAGTGTTTCATTGATTAATTCTTACCAGGTATACTTATCAATGGCTTTCTGCACATTATTTGTAAAATGTGTGGGTAAAGGATCTTTGCTTTTTATAGGAAAATTATGTTTCCTAGATCCTTCTGACAGTCCTCTCCTGAAAAATAAAATAAAATATTAAAAGTATTTCTAACATAATAATTTTATTCATTTGACTTTTAAAATTTCCCTTTGTATAAAGTTGCTCCCTCCCTCCTGCCATGACCCCCTATACCCTCATGTGTGCACACACATGCCACATAGCCATCCAATGTGAAAGAATCGACATTATATTTATTTTTTGTCAGATCATCAAAAAACCTATTTTTGGCTTTGCTGCAGAATTTCAGGAACTAGTTTATGTGTGCCAGGAGATGAAAAAGGTTGAAAATTGCCGCACTATATAGATAGATCAGTTTGATCTTGCTCACTGCTATTATTTTTTTAAAATATATATTTTATTGATTTTGTACAGAAAGGAAGGAGAGAGATAGAGAGTTAGAAACATCGATGAGGGAGAGTCATCGATCAGCTGCCTCTTGCACACCCCCTACTGGGAATATGCCCGCAACCAAGGTACATGCCCTTGACCAGAATCGAACCCGGGACCCTTCAGTCCCCAAGCCGACGCTCTATCCATTGAGCCAAACCAGTCTTGGCCTCACTGCTATTATTATTAGCAAATGCTAGCCTATGAAAGTGTTGTTAACTTGCACCTCCCACAACATTTCTTAGTATGCATCTCTCTTTTTGTTTGTTTTTATTTCTTTAAACTTTAAAAATTTTTCAATAGTTGACTTTCAGTATTATATTAGTTTTAGGTGAACAGCATAGTGGTTAGACATTTATATACCTTACGAAGTGATCCCCTGATATTTTATAATAAGTACCCACCTGGCACCATACAGAGTTATTACAAAATTATTGCCTATATTCCCTGTGCTACACCTAACACCCATGAATGTGTACTTCTTAACCCCTCACCTTCCTCAGCCACCCCTTCTACCCACCTCCCATCTGGCAACCATCAGCTTGTTCTCTGCATCTATGATTCTGTTTCTCTTTTGTTTACTTTGCTCTTTAGATTAAACATATAAGTGAAATCACAAGGAAATTGTCTTTTTCTCTCTGACTTATTTCACTTAGGATAATACCTTCTAGGGTATTATGCATGTTTTTGTAAATGGTAAGAATTCTGCTTTTTATGGCCAAGTAATCTACTAGTCCTAATATATAAAAACCCAGGGGCCATCATGACCTAAACAACTGGACAGATGACCAAACAGCAGGCTCAGGCATGAGACTCAGAAAGAGAGGCAGGGCCTGATCTATAGCTGCCACAGAGGCTATGGATCAGGCCCAGAGATAAGCCCAGAAAGAGAGGCAGGGCCTGATCAGCAGCTGCTGTGAGGTTGTATTGATAGATCAGTCCGGAGGTGTTGGGGGGAGTGTTGGGGCAAGGGGAGAGAGGGGGGGGGGGGGGAGAGAAACCCAGGGCATTCTGGATTTCCCAAAGGAGGCAATGCCAGCCTAGGACAGTGTTTCCCAAACTTCTCTCACGATGAGAATTACCTGGTGGAGTTGTTAAAATACAGATTCCTGAATCCCAACTAAGAAGTGTTAAACTAGAACGTTTGGGTATACTTAACAATTTTACCTGTATGTTCCCAAACATTCTAGTTTAGCACTTCTTAGTTGGGATTCAGGAATCTGTATTTTAACAACTCCACCAGGTGATTCTCATCGTGAGAGAAGTTTGGGAAACAGTGGCCTAGGAGATGGAGCTTTTGTCTCTGACTGGCATAGAAACCAACCAATCAGAACCTAATCTGGGCCTAGGCAAGTCTATTTTGAAGAAGTGGCATTAGAATCCTCAAGGGGCCAACGAGCCACATGTGGCTCTCGAGCCGAGGTTTGCCAACCACTAAGATAGGATATAGATATATTCCACACCATCTTTATCCACTCCTCCATGGGTGGGCACTTGTGTTGCTTAAGTTCTCTTTCAATATTATGATCTTGGCACTTTATTAGCTTTCTTTATCTGCGGCACCTAAACCAATGCCTGTCAGGAAAAGATGCCCTATTTCTTTAAAAAAAAAAAAACTAAAAAAAAACAAAAAAAAACACAAATCAATAGGCAGAGATTCAATCAGTGTCTCTAAAAAATATGTTTTTGCTCTCGGATTACTCTGAATGGTCATGCTTAAATCAAAAGATTACACTGTGACCAGACTCAAAAATATTGTCCAAATTAAAGATGTTTCTGGAACTATTTTAACCTTTATAAAGAAAGAACATTCATAGCAGCTGATGTTTTAAAAAAAATGGAGATTCCAACAGAACAGAGTCCTTCCTGCACGCATTTAGCTTCTCTTGCTCCTACTTGCATCTCCTCTCCTTTTGTGCATCTTGAAAACGCATACCCATTTGTTTTTGTTTCCAACTAAATAATTTCTTCTTCCAGAATATCCTCCCTTTTCCTGAGGTCATGGGGTGGGGTGGGAGGAGTGGGAAGGAGGAAGTTCAAACTAAGAAGGAAATAATTTACAAACTGGGAGAACCAGTTTCTCTCTTCACATTACACCTTGTCCTTGCCCAGAGGCTCACTCCTGCTCACTGCAAAGTGCAGTGACCCACTCGGTCTCCCACACAGGAGTGCTGGCCAAGAATAAAGATGGCGGTGGGGTTACTAGAAAATGGACGCCTTGAAACGGCTTTCAGACCATTTCTCCAACTTCTCCTCCTCTGCTCTTCCCCGCGTCTTCAAAGTCTTTGGACTTCCGTGGGACTTCTGGAACTTCCAAGTTCAGTGTAATGGCTCCTCCATTTGACCACGGAATTCAGGAGAATTCTGAAGAGGAACTTGAGCCCATCTGCTCACTGACTGCCCAAGCTCACAAGACTACAGGGATGGAGCTGGTCTCTCCAGGAACCACAGGTTACTGACATGGTAAACTAAGCACAGAATCTGCCAACATGTACCTTTTGTTTTCCTTTTCTATGTCTTGTTTTGCGTCCCTGGTTTCTCTGTCTTCCAGTCATGCAGTATTGTACTGTTATTTCATGCAATAGACAGCACATCTTTAATTCCCTGTAAACTATCAACTCCTACCTCAGCCCTGCAGTCTAGGAAAAGGTGCACAGCTTTCAGGGCGCGTCCCACAAATACCTTCACACTGAACGTGGTGGGACATTCAAGCTTTTATTGATACCACGCAGACATGTAACCGGTCTACCCTGGTTCCTTATATTTCAGAGATGAAAACTTCAGCTCCGTGTGCACACTCAGGGCTGCTCGTTTGCAGACAGGACCTACTTTGGGGTGTGAACGGAAGGGCAACAACAGAACCGCAGTGTATTAATTGGCTGATGTATCAGAGTGAAGGCTGAGTGCCAGACGCCATGAGCCACTCCCTTCCAGTTGTCCAGGGAATGGCCAGAGCATCTGCCTTCACTTTGAAAAAGCTGCCTCCTGAGCCCACACACCAGGGCCTGTAGAGATCCAAGTATTCAACAGCCATCGCAGCTTCCAGCTGTGCTCCTGTCTAAAGGGCGGTCTGACATGGGCCCTGGGTTCTGCACGGGCTGCAATGCAGGTGGTTTTCTGGAAAGACCCGGCCTTGGGGAGCCTGCCCCTCTCTGTAAGACACTCAGCTGTCCTGCCTTCACCCAGGAACCTGCTGAAGGGACCTGGGCTGGGGCTGCAGACGTCACATCAGGAGCCATGGAGGCGTCTCAGAGCCAGTGAGCCCTTCACCAGCACGGGAACCCCATGAGCGGGTGCGGGGGGCAGAGGAGAGGGGCCAGCTTTGCAGGGAGCACCGCGCACAGGGCACAGGCCGTGCACAGGGCACTGACCGCGCAGGGGCACAGGCCGCGCACAGGGCACAGGCCGCGCACAGGGCACAGGCCGCGCAGGCAGAGCCCCCTCCCCCGGCCCAGCACTTACCCGATCACCAGCAGCCCCGGGCCTGCGCTCACGGCTCCCGGCCCCGGCCCCGCGCCTCCGGGCCTGGGCGCCCCGGCCCCGCGCCCGCACCCCGCGCGGAGCCCCTGCGGGCGGCGGGCCCCGCGCCCCCGCGCCCCCGGCCCCGCGGCCCCCCGCCCGCCCAGCGCGGCCCCCGCCCGCCAGCCCGCCTGCCTCGCGCCCGGGCACCGCGGGCTCCGGCGGCCACGGAGCTCCGGCCGGGGCGGCGGCCACCGGGGGCGGCTCGCCGGGCGCAGAGGCTCCCGCCCCCCAGCCCCGGAGGCCCCGCGGGCGGATTCCTGGAGGCGGCCGGCCCCTCGGCCCCAGCGCCCGCCTCCCGCCTCCGCCCCGGGCGCCGGAGGCCGAGCTGGACCCGGTGGCGGGCGCCCAGCCGCCTCCTCCCAAACCCGGGCTCCCCGCCCCCCTCCGCCGGCTCCCCCCACTCCACCCCCCACCCCCCAAGTCCCCGGACCCGGACCTCGGGGAGCACGCGGTCCCTCCCGCCCAGAGGCAGATCTCAGTCCCGGGCCCTGGGCTTCGGGGCAGCGCTCAGCCCCGGGCACCAGCTCCGGCCGCTCCCGCCTGCGCCCCGCTAGGCCTGGGGACTGATGCGCCCTACTGGTTCCAGTTCTCTAGCACACTGGTGAAACTGGGATGCCATGCAGAGTTCGGTTAATAATAATGCATCGCTGTGGGTTCAATGTGACAAATGTACCATAATAATATGAAATGTTGGCAATAGGAAGCAACTGTGTTTGTACACTTAAAACTGTTCTAAAATTTAAAAATTCTATTTTAAAACGCGTTGAACTCCTCTATACATTTAAGGGTATTTTAGGAGTAACTACTTTACAAGAAGACCAATCAAACCATGTTGTGTTTATTCATTGTAATGTGAATAATATAGTAATCTCAGAAAATAGCTAGTAAACTATGTTTTAGTTCACAGCTTATGTGAAATTATAGAGAAATATAGAATGAATATGGGATTTAAAATTAAAAAATGAAAAAAATGTTATTTAGGTGGCGATAAGGGCATTGTTTTAAATGATTACAAGAAATTTCAATAGTTTTATCTTCTAAATAACATAAACTTGCTTTATATGAAATTTTTTAGGGCAGCCTATATAAAGCAAAATACAACTACA